TGTGCCCTAGACCAAGAATCAAACCCAAGACCCTCTGTTCCTCGGACCTACGCTTTAGCTGCTTACACAAACCAGCCAAGGCATTATCTGTACCTTTTCTCAACAGCATGATCAATTGCACCAGAGATTTAATATATTCAAATTTAGGTCCATTTTATTTCTTATGTAGCAATTTAACTCAATTTTTTTTTATCCTTTCCACTTTTTAAATATTTTAACTCTACGAATTCCTTTCAAAGCACTACTTTCATTGTATGCAGCAAGTAGTTGTTGACATTTAGTTTTTTTAATTTAATTTTTTTTTTTTTGGTGGTACGTGCCCCTTGTGGGAACCGAACCCGGGACTGTGGTCCACAGACTGACGCTCAACCGCTGAGGCAAACTGGCTGGGGCTTCTTTGTTTTTTGATTGAATTATTTCAAACTTCAAATAACTATCCTTTAATGGTTAAATGCGAAGTAGAAATCTTTGTCTTTTACTTTAATGCTATCTTAATTTTCCCTGGATCAGTTTTTATGTAATGAGAAACTATTTATCTTGATTGTAAGTATGTATCTTTTCTTTGCCCCGATATTAATGATGTATTAGCTGCTCATATGATTCTTACATCACAGTCTTTTTGTAATAGTCTCCAGAGTTCTAATTTTTAGGCCTCAGTGTTGTAGGTAAGATATCTCGTGCTAATAATTTTAAATTTAAAAACTTAATTTTTAAAGGAGTTTTAGATTCACAATAAACTGAGTGGAAAGTACAGAATTCTCCATCTCCACACATGCACAGACTCCCTTATCAACATCAGTGAACCTACACTGATACATCATAATTTACAAGTCCATAATTTACATTAGGGTTCACTCTTGGTGATGTAGAATATTCTGAGTTTTGAAAAATGTGTAACATGTATGTATCTACCATCGCATCACACAAAATAGGTTCACTGTCCCAAATAATCGTTTGCTCTATTCATCACTCCCAATTCCTCTGAATGACCAATCTTTTTAATGTCTCCATAGTTTTGTTTTCTTATGGTGAAAAATATCTTTTTCTGTCTTTAATTTTATTAATTTTGAGAGAGAAACATTGATCTACTGCCTCTCGCTCACACCCCGACCAGGAATTGAACCCACCACCTTTGGTGTATGGGACAATGCTCCAAGCACCTGAGCCCACCTACCAGGGCTAAAGTGAAAATTTTATTTTATTTTAAAATTTTTATATATTTGCCCTGGCCAGTTTGGCTCAGCGGTTAGAGCGTCGGCCTGCAGTCCAGAGAGACCCGAGTACGGTTCCCGCTAAGGGCACGTACCTCGGTTGCAGTTTGTCCCCGGCCCTGGTTGGGTCGAGCGGGTGGCAGCCACTCAGTGTGTCCCTTTCACGTTGATGTTTCTCTCCCCCCCCTCCCCCCCGCACTCTATCTGAACAAAAAAATATATATATATTTTTTATAGATTTATTGTTGAAAGTATTACAAATGTCCCTTCAAACTATTTTATGTTTGGAATTGGCCAGCTGGACTCAGTTTAGATGGTCTCGGCTTTTTTGGTGACATTCAAAGCATCATAGTCAGGAGCCAGTCGAACATACACCTTCTCTCCATCAGGCCTGATCAGGGTGTTGACCTTGACCACGTCATGTCCTGGAGCTTCCTCAGCCTGTTACATCTGGTGCTTAATGTCCTGGACATTCACAGTGAACATAAGCGTATTGTCTTCTATCTTCAGAGCTGATTCCATCAGGGGGAACTTGACGACATAGTGGCCAAGCTTGTTTCTCCTGGGGGTGCTCTTGGAATATATTTAGGCTGCCTTCAGAGTAGCAGCGTCTTTGGCCTTCGGAAAGTGGTGAGTGATGTGTGGATCTTTTCTGTGTCTGTGGACACCTCTCAGCACTGCTTTCTTTGCCTTCAAAGCCTTTGCTTTGGCTCTGGCTTTGGGAGGGACAGGGTCTTCCTTCGCTTTCTGTGCCATCTTAGTGCAAAGGGCAATGTCTCCATAGTTTTGTCTTTTCCAGAGTGTCGTATAGTTGAAATAATACAGTATGTAGCTTTTTCAGACTGGCTTCTTTCACTTGGTAATATGCATTTTGGGGCCCTTCCTATTATTTCAAGAATTGATACCTCATTTCTTCTTAGTGCTGAATAATACTGCATTGGATATAACACAGTTTATCCATTCACCTTCTTAAGGATATCTTGGTTGCTTCCAAGTTGGAGCAATTATGAATAAAGCTACTATAAACATTAGTGTATAGGTTTTTGTATGGATATAAGTTTTCAATTTCTTTGGAAAAATATCAAGGAGCGTGGTTGCTGGGTTGTATGGTAAGAGCATGTTCAGTTTTGCAAGAAAACTGCCAAAGTGTCTTCCAAAGTTGTGCCCCATTTTGCATTTCCACCAGCAATGATTGAGTGTTCCTGTTGCTCCACATCCTCACCAGTATCTGGTGTTGTGAATGTTTTGTTTTTTGGCCATTCTAATAGGTTGTAGGGGCATTTCATTGCTTATTTGCATTTCCCTGGTGACATGTGGAGCATTGTTTTATTTATTTATTTTTTTAAAAAATTATCTAGGTTTTTGTTACTCCTCATTCAGCTTTATTTATTTTTAAATCCTCACCCAAGGGTATTTTTCCATTTATCAGATAGAGTGGGAGGGAGAATGAGAGAGAAACATGATGTGAGAGAGATACATCGATTGGTTGCGCATGACACGAACCACAACTGAGGTACATGCTCTTGGCTGGAGTTGAACCCGGGACTCTGGCTCTAATGACTGAGCCAAACCGGCTGGGGCTGGGGCATTTTTTTTACATACTTCCTATGTTGGAGTGTCTGTTCAGGTCTTTTGCTCATCTTTAAATCAGGTTGTTCATTTTCTTGTTGAGTTTTAAGAGTTCGTTGTATATTTTGAGTAATAGTTATTTATCATGCGTCTTTTGCACATATTTTCTCTCTGTGGCTTGTCCTCTCATTTTCATGAGTCTCATGTTAATTTGATTTTTTTTTCTTTCTGGAATGTTTGTTAGCTATAAAATCAACTACATATAAATAGATGGTTCACAAATATATATCGGCAGAACTGAAACTAGCTTGTGCTCTAGACCCATTTATCCCATTCTTTAAATATCTCAAAAGCACTTCAAACTATATATCAAACAAAATTTGTGCTTTCCTCTTTTTGTTTTTTTGTATGTGCCCCTAGCGGGAACCGAACCTGGGACTCTGGTCCGCAGGCCAGCGCTCTAACCACTAAGCCAAACTGGCCAGGGCTGTGCTTTTCCTTTAAAACCTGGTTCTTTTTTGGTCTTTGCTGTTTGGTATATAGAAGGAATCATCATTCATTTAGTAGGGAAGGCAAATATGCCAAAGTCCTCCCATTTTCTCCCTCCTTCTATATCTTTCAGCAGATGCTTGCTCCAGCCTAGCACATAGTGTTTCTCCTCTGCCTAGAATGTACTTCCTTCCATTCTTTGCTAAATAACTAATGGCTGCTCATTTCTCAGATCCAATTTGAGCCACTTCCCCAGAGAAGCCATCCTGGATCTCCTTGAGCACATGGGTGCATAGTATAGGCACTCAATAACTCTTGACCCTTACTTCTTAAGTTGGCACATTTGCACTTTGATATTTGTTTCTCCCTAGATGTTAACCCCCTGAGGGTAGGTTTCAGGTGTTTTTGCTCAACATTTTTTTCTTCAGCCTTTAGTACAGTAACTAGCATGTAGTCTGTGCTCAAGGAATATGCTGATATCTGAGATTTTGTAAGATTCATGTCTGCATTCAGAAGTTTTGCCAGGATATATGTAGATGTATATCTTTTATTAACCTTGTACCAGGTTTGATAAATATTTTTTATCATATGACTCAAGTACAGGGAGGTTTTCTATTACCATGTCATGTGTTTTTATTATCCTCCCTCCATTGGCTGCTTGTGAGGTTTTCTGGTTCTGTTCTTCAAAGCCACAGTCAGTCCTTCCTAGTTCATTTCCTTTCTCATCTATTTGTTTTAATAACAGCTACAGTTTCAGTTATTTACCCTACTTTTCTTCCTATAATTCACTGAGCCCTCATAAAGGCATATCATTTTTCGTTGTAAACCTGCCAATTCAAGCATTTTGGGTCTTGACAGCCATGATGAATCAGCAGATGGTATAATCGTCAGTACTTCAACAGTAAACTCAACTGGTAAAACTTGATTACCTTCAAGGCTTTGCAGAGATTCAGGAATTGGGATCTCAGCTTTTGTCCAAAGTATGTGTATTATGCTTTCCCACTTTCTCATCCCTGTCAACCTAAATAATAAAGTAAATGAAGGTGGTCTCTTTTTCAAGGTTAGGCACTAATGCAGTATAGTGGGGTGATTAAACATAAAAATGAACAACCTAAATAATTTCCTTAAGAAAAAATATGGCCTTTTTTTTTATTATTATTATTTATTCATTTATTTTTATCCTCACCCGAGGATATTTTTCCATTTTTTGTACAGATAGAGTGGGAGGGAGCGAGAGGAAGGGAGAGAGAGAGAGAGAAACATCGACGCGAAGGGACACATCGAGTGGCTGCCACCCGCACGACCAACCAGGGCCGGGGACAAACTGCAACAGTACGTGCCCTTAGCGGAACCGAACCCGGGTCTCTCCAGACCGCAGGCCGACGCTCTAACCACTGAGCAAAACTGGCCAGGGCTGGCCTTTTTTAATCTACTGTTTGGTTGATTTATAACATTCAAGTCTTTACTTCATAGGGGTTTTTAATGATCAAGTTGTATGAATTTTGAATTTTGATTTTGTTTATTTTACTGTACATATATCCATCTTGTTAGTGGCCCTTTTATTAATTTGTTATTGAGTACACATACATAGTTAATAACCAAGCTTACCTTTTTATATTTCAGATGACTTTTTAAAAAGATTTTTGAGTTTTGGAGAGTCCAGCAGGTCTGCAATAACAAAAATTAATCTTCAGAAAAAGAAAACAATCTAGTTCTGACAACATATTCACCATGTCCAGTGTACAATCAGAAATTCCTAGACTAGCAAAGAAACAAAAAAATAGTTTCCAAATGGAAATAATTCAGTTGATAGAAACTGAGATCACTCAGTTGTTGGATTTAAAATACAAAGACATGTCAACAGTTATTATGAAGAAGTTTAAAGTCTTGATGGAAAATCTGGATTTAATGGTTGAAGAGATAAGAGAATCTCTTAAAAGTGATCTAAAGGAAATTTTAGGAGTAGCAAGTACAATACCTGAAATGGAAAATCCTAGAAACTCCAGTACCAGGAAAGAGTGGCAGCAAATAAAAGATACCACGTCAATAAAAACAGGATTGGTAGAGAAAATAGAAGAAAACTATGTTGAAGATATTGAAAATTTGACCTTTAAAAGAAAAAAAATAGCTGAATGTGGTAGCAAATCAGACAAAGTTAAAGAAGGTAAGGAATTGCCCCCAAATGAATCACAAAATCACAAAGTCATGGAAAATATGGAAGAATCCATAGGTAATATAGATGACACAGGTCGAAATTGCAACGTTCATACAGAAGTTAGAGAGGGCCGAGAGCATGGAGAGGAGATACTAGTCAAAGAAATGAGAGAAGAAAACATCCCCCAGAACTTCAAAAATAAAGAGAAAATTTTAAAAGCCTCTGAAGAAGATGAGGGAGCAGTACTCACATTGACAGCAGACTTTTCATCAGCAACACTTGATGTTAGTAAACAATGGAGTAATGTCTTCAAGATTCTGAGGGAAAATGATTTTGAACCAAAACTTTTATGTCAAGTTAAGTTAGCGTTTAAATGTGATGGTGAAATCAGGACCTTTTCAGACATGCAAAGCCTCAGCAAATTTACCAGCCAAAAATCTTTTATGAAAGGTTTACTGAAAGGTGTACTCCCAGAAAATGAAAAAATAAAGAAAGGAAGAAGATATGGAATTCAAGAAAAAGTGGTAAGCATACAAATCTGTAAAGCTTATGTAGTTGGTCTTTTTTTCCCCCCTCATCCAAGGACATTTTTGCATTTATTTTCAGATAGAGCAGGAGGAAGAGAGAGAGAAACATTGGTGTGAGAGAGATGCATTTACTGGTTGCCACACACAAGGCCCCAAAAGAGGCTGGAGACAAACTGCAACCAAGGTATGGGCCGGGCCCTTGGCTGGAATCAAATCTGAGACTCATTGATCTGCACGCCAATGCTCTACTGCTGAGCCATACTAGCCAGGGCTACATTTTTTTTCTTTACTGATTTCAGAGAGAGAAGGGAGAGGGAGAGAGAAACATTGATGAGAGAGAACATTGATTGGCTGCCTCCTGCATGCCCCCCACTGGGCATTGGGCCCACAACCTGGGCATGTGCTCTGACTGGGAATTAGACTGGTGACCTTGGTGCATGGTTCGAAGCTCAACCATTGAACCACACCAGACAGGCTATATGTTAAATATCTAAAGATAAAACCAGAACAATAGATTTTAAATAATTAAAAAGGAAAAATAGAACCAAAGAATCAAAAGAATTAAACTAAAAGCCCTCATGCAATAAAAATAACAGAAATATCAAGTATAAATAATTAATTTCCATTTTTAATGTTGAAAGTAGTTCTGCTAAGTTCTCTTATTTAGCAATTGGGAAAATGCAAATGAAACTATTACTAAAGCTTACCATGTTGTTATTAATGTTAATATCTAACTTTATCTATTCCAGTGTATTATAAAGATTTTTGTTTCTTACATCATATTAGAGTATGTTCCCTTGTACCTGATTGATTAAAAACACTTCAGTTTATTTTCTGAATATTTTTATAATCTCAGTCTTAAACAGTATCCTGTAGGGATTCTCTTCTATTTTTGTTTTTCTCCATAAATATGTGAATATATATATATAGTCTTTTTTTTCCATTTGAGTGTTGTGTATGGTGTATAAGATAGTGGTCGAGTTTTACTCTTGCATTAGACTATCCATTTTTTTTCACCACTTATTAAAGACTATCCTTCACCAGTTGTAGATTCTTGGTGTTTCATAAATTAATTGACCATATATGTGAGTTTTTTTCTGTTTCATTAATCTGTTTTTGTCAATTCCATACTGTTTTGATTATTATACCTTTATAATACACTTTAAAATCAGGAAGTATGATGCCTCCTGCATTCCCCCCCAACCCCCAAGATTGCTTTGGATATTTGAGATTGGACATTTTAACAATGTTAATTCTTCCCATTTTTGAGCATGGAATATCTTTTTAATTATTTGTGTTTTCAGAGGTCTATATTATTAAGCCAATATTTTAGACAGGTTTTCAAAAGAACACCTAGTTCCTCTGTACTCTTAACATTCTGAAGTGCAACCTCTGCAAAATGAAAATCTTCTTTACTTAAGAATAAACATTTAAGCTCAGAAATTAGCTGTTCCCCAGAGAGTTAAACAAATAGGAATCAATGGGTCATAAACAAGGGAAAGGCTCTCCTAATAGAGGGAGCAGTGAATGAAAAACTCATGGACAAGCAGAGGGTTTTAAGAAATATTGAGCCAACATTTGCATTGCAGACTTGTCAAACACACAGATTAATGGAACAGAAATAAACTCACACATATATGGTCAATTAATTTATGAAACAAGCCAAGAATTGACAGTGGTTGAAGGATAATCTTTAGTAGGTGGTAAGAAAACCTGGAGAGTCTAATGCAAGAGTAAAACTGGACCACTATCTTACACCTAGATTGCCTTTTTAACCCTTACAACAAACTGAGTTAGTGCTATGATTAGATCCTGTTTTAGATGGGAAATTGAGATACTGATAACAAGTGTGGCAACTGAATTTGAACAAATCAGACTTGAATTGAGCCTGTTATATCCAAAATGATTTCCTTTTAATTAATATGACTACAGTTTGAACTGCAAGTGGAGTCTTTAAAACTTGTGTGTCTTTGAGGGAAAGGTAAATGTCAGATTTTTTTTGGTTTTGTTTTGTAATCTTCCTAAAGTTAGATAACAAGGTCTCGTTACTATCCCTGAATATGAAAAACACAATTTACTAATACAAGTCATTATTATTGAGAATTGTGCATAAAATTCTAAGGAATATAAAAGGAACAGGGTATACATAACCTCATGGATATTTGTTGCAAGTACTACACAAGAAATTACAGGTGTGATAGGATGACCATAGGAAAACTTGGTGTGTTTTGGGGACCCGAGCCTTAGAACAAGTCATTTGGGGGGAGGGACATCTGTAATAAAAACAAATTAATAAAAATAATTTTAAATAAAATATTAAAAATAAACAAGTCATTTAAACAATTTCTAGATATTTGCTGATTGTCAAAATAGCAGTCATATTAAATTTATTCATTTAAAAGACACATGATTTAAAGAAATAACTTTTTTTAACTTTTAGGATAAGACTCTAATAACCTCCAAGCACGGAGCTGCGGAAGTGGACAGTGGTGGCTTGAGCTTCCTATTGATTAAAGAGGTAAATGTTGCTGAGCCAGAGGAGGTAAAAAACTTAGAGATTCACGAGGAAAAGGCTTCAGGGTGGAAGGAAAAAGAAGCCCTTGAGGAGAAAGAAGGCTTAGAGCTAGAGGAGGAAGAAAAAGAGACTTTAGAGTTGGAGGAGGGAGAAGAGACCTCAGAGCTAGAGGAGAGTGAAGAAGCCTCAGAGCTAGAGAGTGAAGAATCCTCAGAGCTAGAGGATGAAGAAAAAGAGACTTTAGAGTTGGAGGAGGGAGAAGAGGCCTCAGAGCTAGAGGAGGAGAGTGAAGAGGCCTCGGACCTGGAGGAGGAAGAGACCTCAGTATTATGTAAGAAACGGCACTCAACCTTTCAGAGTTGTACTATGAGGAATACAAAACATGGAGATGAAATAGCCAGTGATGAGTTGAAGAATATTTTGACTAAAGAGGTAGAAGATTCCGAGCAAGAGGAGGAAGAAAGCTCAGAATGTGAATTGGAAGTGTTTTTAACAGTAGAGGAAGGAAAGGACTCTGAAGTAGAAATGTCTGAACAAACAGACTTAGTACAAGAAACAGAAGAGAACTTTAGAAAAAGTGTAATTAGTTTCTTCAGTGAGATACAAAAGGAGATTGGGAATATTAAAAATTACCGTCCTGGAAATAAACCACTAGTCTTAGCTACTCTGAGTGACAGAGTAGACATACTTGAAGAGAGAATCAACAATCTCGAAGATCGAATTGAAGAACTGTCTAAGGATACACTGCAAATGGCCAAGCAGGTGATAGTTAAAGAAAGAATAAGAGACAAAGAGGACAGATCCAGAAGCTCAAACATCCGTTTGATAGGAATTCCAGAAAAACATAATAAAGAGAATGGAGCAGAAGAAATAGTTAAGGAAATAATTGAAGAAAACTTTCCAGAGCTAAGGAAAAATTCAGGCCTTGAGATTGTCAGTGCCTATAGAGTACCCAGTAAAATTGATGAAAAGAGACTCACTCCTAGACACATCTTGGTGAAATTGGGGAATTGTAGTGATAAAGAAAAAATCTTAAATGCTTCCAGAGAGAAAAAAGAGATAACCTATAGAGGAACAAGAATCAGATTGACAGCAGACTTATCATTGAATACTTTGGATGCTAGAAGTCAATGGGGCGGTCTCATAACAGTTCTGCAGGCAAAAGGCTTTAAACCTAGAATCCTATATCCAGCCAAATTGGCATTTGATTTTGAGGGTAAAACAAAGATATTTTTTGATATTCAAGAATTCAGAAAGTTTATTTCTTGTGTGCCCTCTTTGAAAGAATTACTGAAGAATATACTTTAGCAATCCAGGGTGAGTGTAAGCACATACAATATATATTTTCTTCCTGCACCAGAAATCAACAAGGAAAACTAGAAAATAAAACGCCACAATGTTATCCAAGAAGAATGTTCAAGAGAAGGCTATTTGAATTTTATTATTTACTGTAATGTGAGTTTTAAGTCTTATTAAACTTTTTTCCATTTAGTATGCATTTGCTTACTGTTTATTAAATTTTACATTTTCAAAGGGTTTTAAGGCATACTTAAATTTTACATTTTATTACATAAACCCATTTGATGGCGTGATTAAATCCCTTCCCTAATGTTAGATACTGATTTTTTTTTTCTTATTCTCACCCGAGAACATTTTTCCATTTTTTGTTCAGAGAGAGATCGACGTGAAAGGACCACATCTAGTGGTCGCCACCCATATGACCCAACCAGGGCCAGGGACAGACTGCAACTAAGGTTCATGCCCTTAGCAGAAATCGAACCTGGGTCTCTCTGGACCACAGGCCTACTACACTCTAACCTCTAAGCCAAACCGGCCAGGGCAAGATACTGGTTTTTAATTACTAATGAATGAAATGAATTGATTTGCAGTGTATAGATAGATAACCAAAAAAAAATGAGAGACTATTTTATGACTTATTACAGGGTCTCATCCAGTATATTCAATTTAGCAAGCACATTATCTGTCCAGCAATTAAACCAACCCCTTAGTACAGTCAGTCCATCTAGCTCTGGTCTTCGAGGAAACTTCTGTAAAATTGTTATTTTAAACACTCTGGTCTCAGACCTATTTTGAGCTCCAATTCTGTGTGACTCCAGGGAAATCCAAGTCTCGGGTTTCTTATTCTGTAACTGTTCATTCCTTACAGGCTTTGGTCAAGGTTCTGTGAAGTGATTTGTACCCAATGTGGGAGTCCTGCTTCCTGCCCCACACATCAGAGCAAGGCTGGTTGCTCTTTTCACTGTTGTGGATTTCAGTGAGAACCACAGAAGGCCACTTCATTTGGGTTGGAGGTGGGTGGGCCAGAAAATAAAGCAATAGTCATAGCTACCACATTATTTTTCTACCCTCCTGCTTTGCTTTGACTGGTTTATAAGTTTTATTTCCCTCTTTTCCTTGCTCTTGTGAGATAATCATCAGGAAGTTGCAAAAATACGATAGTCCCACATACCTTGCAACATGAAGTTAAATGTTCAGCATTTAAGACCTATCTTTGGTGGCTATTTAGCTTCCCACACAAGACTAAAGGCTTCACTGAGGCGACCAGGCATTAGTGTGCACTCATGCCTGCAATTTTACCTCGTGTAGCTTTGTAAGCACACTCAAGACGCAGAACTGTTAGTCCTATCCAGGAACTCCTGGTTGTGCTTGGCCCCTAAGCACTAGTTCTGTTTCAAAATGTTATATAAATCATATAATGTAATCTTTTGAGATTGGCTTAAACTTAACTGTTGTGTCTAACATTTAAATTGCCAGGCGTTGAAGAAGCCTTTGTCTACTCAGTTCCCAGGTAATGAACATGCCCCAGAAAGACGCGCGGACCATTTTGGTCTTCCATGGACATCTATTTTTTTAATCCTCACCCAGGGACATGCTCTTTAAAATTGATTTTAGAAAGTAAGAAACATTGATCAGTTGCCTCATATACCCTTCACCATCACCCGCACCAGGAGTTAAATCTGCAACCTAGGTGTGTGCCCTGATCAGGATTAACCCATGACTTTTCAGTGTATGGGATAATGCTCTAGCCACCTATAGCATCAGCCAGGCCTGTCCAGTATTTTGATAAGGATGTGAAGGTCCTCAAGTTTCCAGTAAAAACTACTGAGGGTGGATGGAGGGGACCTGAGCTGGCTCACTGCCTGAGGACACTGACATCCCTGCACTAGGTCAATGAATTCACATTGGTGCCTTGCAGTTGACCATCCTGAGAGCGAGCACCACAGAAATGGTAGACTCTTTTCAAGAGCCAATGAGATACCAGGAAACCACCAAATTACTGTGTCTCTAATAATGAATCAAAAGGAAGTGACAGCCCCTTCTGGAGGGTTTGGGGATGGAGATATTTGTGAGAAATGCTAAATTAGGTTGTTGACAGCACCCTCCATACTCTACTAGTCACCCCGTTTACAGCTGAAGGGAGGGTGAATGGTTTTACCAGCTTGGATAGTGTCACCCCAAAATTCATGCCCACTTGGAATCTCGGAATGCGACCTTTGGAAATAGGATCTGCAGATGTAATTAGACGAAATAAAATTAGGTCAGTGCTGGATTAGGGTGGGCCCTAACCCATGACGTGTCTATAAGAAAGCAGGCCATGCCTCCCTCCCACTCCTAGACAAGCTCCCAGAACCCCCCCCCCCCAAACAGCTTGCAGCCTCCTAGGGCTTCCTAGCACCCCGTACCTTCCAAGCTTCCAAGGCTGGACACCTAGAGTGAGCGTCCCTGGGCTCTGAGGTGGTCAAGGGCTGACTGCTGTGGTCACTCGGGGAGAGGTGTGGAGAGAGTGGGTATCCAGCTGTATATTAGGAGAATCCTGCAAAGTCGAGAATGAACAGGGTTGGAAGGAAGGACGGGCTGTGGGACAGTGATCTGCCTGCCTGTTCTGTGGAACTCGGGGTTCTGAGAATTCTGAACTCGAGCTTGGCGCTCTGCCTTTGTGAAGGCATATTTGTAGTAGTGTATTCGGTTTGTAATGTTCAGATGTTTAGGTAGAATAGGTAGGCCTCCATTTATACTCTTGCTCCAGGCTTAGGTTGAACCATTTGGATTTACTGAAACCTGGGAGCTTTTGAAGGGGGCTGTTCAGGGGAAGGTCATGATCAAAGCTTTGCTCAAAGACTTAGGTGGTGAATTTAAAAAAAATAGAGTTAGGTGAGAAGACCGCAGGCAGGATAATGAAGGAGGTAGTTCAAATTTAAAGGGAAGAATGAGACTTTTTAAAAGATAAACGTTCTTTTTACCTTTACAGTACAAATTTAGAGGTAAAAGAATTAAAAACAGCCCCGGCCAGTTTGGCTCAGCGGTTAGCGCGTCGGCCTGCAGTCTAGAGAGACCCGGGTTCGGTTCCTGCTAAGGGCATGTACCTCGATTGCAGTTTGTCCCCGGCCCTGGTTGGGTCGTGCAGGTGGCAATCGCTTGTGTCCCTTTCACCTCAATGTTTTTCTGTTTTTCTCTCTCCCTCCTACTCTATCTGAACAAAATATGGAAAAATGTCCTCGGGTGAAGATTTAAAAAAAGAAAGAAAAACAGGTAAAAATTTACAGATTGAGAGGACAAAAAAGGTGATCTGAAGTAAGCAGAGTAACAAGGTAACAACACGCTGTGGGGCATCTTCATTTGCTGGAGCTCAATCCACAACCCCCCCCCACCAGCTTTGCCCCGACCCACTGTGAACCCTGACCCCTCAGGTGTTAGGCTGACATAAAAAGGGGGACTTAGTACATAGCTTTGGGGAAGGCGATATTGCTAGTAAGTCTCAAATACTGGTGAGATTTTTACTTTATTTCATCAGTGATGCTTTTGGAAACAAAGGCCTTGGCTCTTGCAGACTAAAGCAAGATGATAATTTTTGTATCCCGGGAGGGTAAAGAACTAGCTTGCTGCTCTCAACAGCTACTTGAAATTGGCCACGATGAGTTAGTTGCAAATTGCTCCTAAAAGAGCCAGTGTGCTTCCTCGTGTGGACCTAAGAAATGTCCAAACACGTAGGGAATTTTTATTTATTTATTTATTTATTTATTTTATATCCTCATTCGAGGACATTTTTCCATTTTTTGTACAGACATAGTGGGAGGGAGAGAGAGGAAGAGAGAGAGAGGGAAACATCGATGTGAAAGAGACACATCGAGTGGCTGCCACCCGCACGACCAACCAGGGCCGGGGACAAACTGCAACCGAGGTACATGCCCTTAGCGGGAACCGAACCCGGGTCTCTCCGGACCGCAGGCGGACGCTCTAACCGCTGAGCCAAACCGGCCAGGGCGGGAATTTTTATACTAGTTTATCTGAGCCAGACTGGCGATATGTGCGGGGAAGCAAGATCTCAGATGCTTTGGAGAAGAACAGTTTTGCAGCTTCCTTCATGTATTTAAAAGAAAGGAGGGGATGTGAGGAAGATCAGAGAAAGCAAGGCGGGAATTGGACCACGAGGCCGTTAACAAGATTATGGGCTCTTGCGGGTTAATGCTTCCTTCGAGGGGCATCACTTCTGGCATTTCAAGGGTGTGCCAACCTAGATGCACAAGATCAGTGGACAGTGATGGCTGGCTTAAAACCTTCCACTAAGAAGTTACAGGCCTGAGGTGTGACCACCCATCATGACCTACCCAGTCAGGAATTTAGGATCGGATTACCCTGTGAGGTCACTCTCCATAGAATCCCTTTATTGGTCCACACTTGCCAACTGCCCTCCCTCTCCCCAAATTGTTCCCAGAGGCCCACAGTGAACGCTAACTTGCCCAGATTCTCCATTTCCTACTCACTGGGAATCTGTTACTATTGTGATGGGACTAGAATTAGACCTAGGGAACTTTTTTTTTTTTTCTTTATTGATTTGAGAGAGAGAGGAAGGGAGAGCAAGAGAGATAGAAACACCGATGAGAGAACAATTGGCCGCCTCCTGCATGCCCCCCACTGGGGATCGTGTCCACAACCTGGGCATGTGCCCTGACTGGGAATCGAACTGGCGACCTCTTGGTGTAGGGGTCAATACTCAACCACTGAGCTACACCAGCCGGGCCCTACAAAGCTTTTTTTTTTTAATACCCTCACCCGAGAACATTTTTTTTCATTTTTTGTTCAGATAGAGTGGAAGGGAGAGAGGAAGAGAGAGAGAGAGAAACATCGACGTGAAAGGGACACGTCGAGTGGCTGCCACCCACACAACCAACCAGGGCCGGGGACAAACTGCAACCGAGGTACATGCCCTTAGCGGGAACCGAACCCGGGCCCCCCACTGGGGATCAAGCCCACAACCTGGGCACATGTCCTGACCAGGAATCAAACTG